ACACGCGTGGACGACTTCGCTGTCTGATTTTCTCAGCGAAAGAAATTGAATTGTGGATGACAACAGCCCCGTGAGTGAAAATCAACAGCACCAGCTGGCTTCCAAGCGGTCGGTGCGCTCTAAATGTCAGCATCTGAGATGCAATACTAAAATGAAGTGTCTTACACAACTTCGTTTTCGCTGATAACCTTTTCAAATATGTTCAGATGCAATGGACCAGACTAGATACGATTCATTTCGCAATTGAGATCTACTTTGGGTTCCTTCATATTCCCCTTTGTTACTTTCGTTCTCAGTTCTATTCAAGCAGTAACCAGTGCTTAATAAACATTCAACAAGATTACAAAAATGAAGGCAAGTTCCCCATCATCAGCTTTAGCAGCCGACGTTTTATCGATTCAGTTGGTTTTAGCGAATATTTTTTGTTATGTAGAAACCCTTGCGAAACGAAGGACTGTGATTGATGTTTGAATTGGCTCATTACAATTCATCATGAATTGTAAGTTTGTCTCTGTTGGTGGTCGGCATTAATCGTTGTCTCTTTTACTGCATATGTCTAACTTTTTTCCCAAACTTTGGCTTGTCCACAAACTCAAGGGAAACCTACGATGTGAGTGATTTTCTCTCACAACTAACAGCTGTTTCCGAAAGGGTCATGTGATATGCGTGAAAGTTATTTGCAAAATGAATGGCTGCACTATTTCTATTTCATTTCTTTACTCATATGTTGTTTCATGGGTCTGTCTGAGTAATTGCCAAGGACATTGCCGTCCCACAGGGAACCGAAATCGATTGATGAGCAATCGAGGCACTTGGTTTCGTGATACGAGTTGCGTCAGTGTATTATCGAGAACCAATGATGAATCATTTCATTCTTTCTATTTTCACATATCGATATTTGCGGTCATTTCTTTTTTAGGTTAGTTAATTTAGTTTCTGTTGCTTTTTTTTCGTAATCGTAGACGATTTACTGACGACGGTGTGTGATGAACCGGATTTGAAACTGTGTCCGGTTTCAGCCAACATTGCCATTGCCTTATAGCGTCGTCGGGGTGGCTTTGAACGTCGTGCGGGTGTTCATTTCATCGATTAGCTCGCGCTGTGACTGGCCCTTAACACATTGTCTCCAGTGGGTGGCACTTAGGTTTTCATTTTCCGTAAATTTCTTTAAAATTCAAAACATATTTTGTTAATTATACTACTGCCAACTACGTTTTTATTGATTTAATATTTCTTGGAAAAGTAGCGAATAAGTTATTAGCACTGAAAAGCGTAAAAAGTTTAAGTTTTTTGTATCTTTTTGCTTGTGGCATTTGTTTTTGGGGGATTTCTAGCGAGGCGTGATGACAAATGAGCGCTACTTCTCTATCTTTTGTTCCGAATATTTTCTGCCGGTTTCTGAAAACCAAAATAAAGTTTTCTCAGTGCTCCAATTGAAATTTAGTTTATGTTGTGTTTGTTTCACTTGTTTGTAGGTCATTGTATAATGTTTGACACGGGCTCGTGAACAGCATTATTGATTTCTGTATCGATTGATTCACAGCTGCACTTTGGCAGTAGCATGTTTCGGTGGAGTGATGGTGTGATTCATCTTCGCGTTTTCATCTCTCATGAGCGGAATGTCTCACTCTCTCTCAATTGTAAGGGCATCCTCTGTCCCCATTTTTTATTCGAATTCTATAGAAGTCATCCTTTATTGCCTTGACGTACCTTTCTGGTAACTTTTTAGTGAGCATTTGCTGTCCTGCAATTCGAAAAACCAGTGACTGTGTTTTGTCGCTCCTGTAGGTTCTCACTGTGTCAGCTTTTCTTTCGTTAGTTTTTCGTAATCGTGTAAATAGATTACAAACGGTTACCACGCTTCATCTGTTTTCCAATGTATTCCTTATATACCTTTTTCTCCTTCGGTATTTTTGTAGCGTCATCGTTTCTCCTTCAGTTTCGAGTTTTATAGCTTGAGTTTCTGAAAGAAGTGCGGTTATTGCTTTAGGAACGTTCAAAATGTCAGGCAGGAAGAAGGCGCTTCTTAAAGTGATTATTCTCGGTGATTCTGGCGTAGGCAAGACGTCGCTGATGAATCAGTATGTTAACCGTAGATTCAGTAATCAATACAAGGTAAGGATTTTTGATATTTTTCAGTTAGTCAAATAACGTTTGTTTTTCTTTTTTTTTTTTGGGGGGGGGGGGGGGCTTCTACTTTTTTACACGTTTTGTTAAATGACTTTTAGAGGCCATTATCTCCCGAAACGGATGTATTCAAGGGATGAAATCTCTGCTCCTCCTGTGCTAAACCGAAAATTTGTACCACTATTCGATCTGCCTGCAACCTTTTTGAGTTTGTACGATTGATGTGTTGCATGCCAGCTTAGCCAAAAGTTTGCTTCAGGGAAATACGCGGGGACCACCTTTGACTTTGAATTGACCTATTTGAGCAAAATTAGTTGTTGTGGCAGCCCTAGCTCCGAATATGTGCTGCTACATGTCGACAACTTGACAGGGTATTTATTGGTATAGTACCGCGTATGTTGAAGACTCGAGCTTCTCATTAACGTGAACCTAAAGGGACCCTGGCAGCCTTTTGTAGCAACACCTGGGAGAGGGTGCTGGAATCTTCGAGTCAGGAAAAATCTGCTATACGGAATGTCTGGTGATGCAATTCAGGAATTCAGTTACGATGCATTTGCACGGTTCAAGGCAGTAATGTCCAGCTCATTCAGGGAAGAGAGCAAGCAAGTTTCTTTGAGCTTCAAAACTGGAGAAGGGTACTTTGTGTTTGTATGCTGTTTTCATAAACACGCATCTCTCCATGTGCATGGGTACAAAATTTATTGCAGTCGTAAGGGTGTAGGCCGGCTTTGGCTTACGTTGCTAGTACAGTTTCTATCCTCGTCAGAGATGGGATGAAATGGTTTATACGGATTTAGAAGTGCTTTGCAGACTGCAGTTATTTCAACACCACCATCAGGCCTTCAAGCCAAGATTGTAAAGGAGGAACGGCGTCAGCTTCAGGTCACGTTCGTACTGGAAGTGGTGTAGGTAGAAAGAGCAAGGCGAAGGATTGCTTGAGCTTTACTATTCGACCAACTTCGTTCATTCCTTCTGTTACATTTCATCCAGTGTCATTCCCACGAAAAACCAAAGGCACCACTTTGTTTCCTAGGATGGGGACTAGGGCTATTGATTGTGCCTAAGATTCCTCATCTCTCTTTGCTGTAATTTCACAAGGAGAAGGAAACGTCCAATCCATTTCTTAGTACCCGTGGGCCAAAAACTCCTCGAAAGTCAATAAGAGGTATTTCGTGAAAACTATTGAACACGATATACAGAGCTGTACTGGATTTTTTAAACAGCTATATATGTCTACCCACCTGGGACACGACTAATATGACCTTCCCTTTTTTCAGAGGCTTACGAAAAATTTGCGTTTTGTAATTAAGTGGTGGCTCAAGAAAGATGAAAAGTGGTCATAAGCATTTATCATTCTTTCCCTTCATGGTATATTGGATTATTCCAGTGAAAGTACCGAGTAAGACACCGCATTGTAAGAAGAAGTGAGAAATCGAATGTAGCAGAATACATTTTTTGACCCTATTTTTGCATCTTGGTCGTGATTGAGTACAGTCAAGCAGTACCGTACGAGTGAAAGGCAGTGAACATCCGAAGCTCATATGATGAAAACTGTATTGAAATATGCCCGAGAAAGGGGTGCTTTATGAAAAACACTAGGAGTATGGGAGGTAAAACAGCCACTGAACTAAGCGTTTCATGGGTGCAGTAGGACACATATAACCCGGACGGAGCAATGGAGTCATGTGACCGATCAAGAAGTGTGGCGGCCTCCAAGCCTCGGGTACATGGTATTGGGTCAAAGCCGATATAAACGAGTTAATTCGTATGGTAGCCGACATTTCAGAGCTCCAAAAAGCGCATTAGGGATATCATCTTGTAGAGTTGCGTCAGCCATGCATGGCACTTCCATTCCCTGATATATAGGCTTTCGGGCAACGCCAGTCCCTTTAATATTCATTTTCGATTAATAGACGGCACCGAAAACAAGAACGTAGATCTGGAGCACTTTTTGCTTGTTAATTTGTCAACTTTCATTTCTACTTTCCTAGGTTGTTTTCCTTAGCGCGCAGCCAAGCCCTTGACTGGATTATCACTTATTTGTGGTAGAATTTTCGCTAACTGATGAAGTGGAAATTTTCTGGAGTTTGTTCTCCTTGTTTTCTCGATCAGTGTCACTAATGCAAAGTTACCTGATGCGGTACCCCTCAAATCATCCCAGCAGAAAAAGGGAAATCATCCTAAACTGGTCACACCACGGAGGTAACCTCTTGTGGTGTGACCAGTTGAGCGATTTCCTCGTTTCTCCTGAAATAATCTCTATACCCAATGTTAAATTTCTTGCCTTTTCCAGTGTTAAGCTCAATCGTTATTCCTTCCATCCTGTTCACGTTTTCTGTAATATAATTACGAGCCATTCTCAAACCAGTCAGGAATTCAGTCTTACAACGTGGTAATCTACCGTATATAGTAATAAATTTTTTTGGTGGTATAATCGCTAAGGGATAAACAGGATCATGGCCTAATAGCAAGAGAGAAGGGCTTTCCTTAGTTGATTGATTCGGTGCTGCATTGTAAGCGAACACGATCGTGTTTAGAATCCTGTCCCACTACGCAAGTTCACGATTTTTTCCTGAGCATTGCAGTAATAGTTCCATGGGCTCTCTCCGTAATACCGTTCTCTCTCGTGCAATGCTTTTTCTGAATTTAAGTTAGTTTTTTGGATTTTAATGTGAAATTTGTTGAATGCTTATAAGCGAGCACAGGGCTTCCATAATGGAATTCTTAAATTCGCTTTCACGATAGGAATGCAAATCGTTGGCCATCGAGCGCAGCCGCAAATCCAGTTACTGAGGAGTGCTTCAGCAATGTCTCAGCCTTTTATTTGCAATAGGATACGCCCCTAAGTATTTTTCTCTATATTCTTACGATGTAGCGATTCCCACGAGTAGCTAGGTTTTGAGTAAATCGATTCCGACAGTTTCGGTTGGTTTTTGTGAGGCAAATGGTTTGAAAAGGACGTTTTGCTTTCTGCTGTTCGGCAGAAAATACGCTCGGCATCTTTGCACCATCTGTTCAAGGCTTGGTGCATGCCTGGCCAAAATTCAACTTTCTTGTTGACTAAGCCACTTGCGAATGTGGAAGTGACCTCCCAGAAAGCCATGAAGAGCTTACTCGAACAACGCATTTCGTCAACTCTGGGGTACCACTGGGACCGATGAACCGACCTTATTCATAGGTTTGAGTCGTCCGCCATCAATTGCGAAATCAAGTGAACTTAACTTGCGGGTAAACTTCTGAAGTCTCACTTCTTCCTCATTCTCGCATTCCGCTGCGTCAATAATCAGCCCGAAATCGGGGTCCTTTCGCAATTCGCTGAGTCAGACGTGCTCCTGTGCGGACGCACCATTTTTTCGTCTGCTGTCCAGACGGACGCGTTTTCCTCCCGAACACCTACAGAACCTCGTGACGGCGAATCAGTGGCGCAACTCGCCGCTCCTTTCGCGGGCTCAATGCTCAGATATTACCCCTATATCTACAACGCCACCGCAAAACACTGAGAAAGATGAACTCGCTCAAACAGCGACGTTACTGCGGCATGATCATTTCGCACTGTTTGTATGAATACAAAATATGAAGTGCGAAACTTCTTAAAGCTATAAGCCTGTGCTGAATCTTCCTGATTTGTCGCATGGCAGTTCGTTTCGCAAAGGAAAACGATTGAGAGGCGAAGAAAATTGGATGCAAGGAGCCGTCATCTCCATCTTGTCGCTCCATCGCCAATTCTGCTGGTGTGGTACAGATAATTGAGAGCCGACTTCTTTCCAACGCTTTCTCAATAATAGGCTCACCTATTCGTCTTTTAGTACGTCTTCTCAAATGCTTTCTCCAGTTTACCTAACCACTCGAATTTGGCATTGGAACTATTCATCTCGCACAGTGGCTAGCCATTATTGGCTACTTCAAAAGCTGCGGGCGCATTTAAGACAACTGGACAGCACAATATCACCGGTGCAGGAGGTATTGTATTTTGGAAAACTCCTCACTGTCATAGCTTCAATTTCACTGGAACACCAGAACGTCGCCGAAATCACTAAAATTGCAGGAGTTGCAATCTGAAAGCTTTCAGCACTTTTTAGATACTCGTACCCTTCCGTTATCATCTGATCGCATTTTCGCGGAGTTCAGGTCGAGAGGAGCGCTGTTACATAGGCAATTATCGGGGTCGAATCCTGGACCGATACACGCTCCTGCCAACCGAGTCTTCTATTCTTCCAGGGTCGACCGGTAGCACTAGACTCGTCTGCCAACCGAGTCTTCCATTCTTCCAGGGTCGACCGGTCGGCACTAGACTCGTCTGGTAGGATAAAAAAGCACTGACTTGTACATCGTTCGGCAGCCGCAACGCATTATACAGGCCAATACGCATTGTATGCGTCATTACGTTTTCAAATAGTAATGGCGAGGCGCGTCGCAAAAACACGATTGATCAACATCAGAGGACTTTTTGTTCGCTTGATAAAAACTGCTCTATATTCCTTGAATTGATTGGTAGTGGTTAATCCTACTGTAAAGTCGAAGCAGTGTAGAGAAGTGTGAGGAGATATGAAAGGGTTAATCTGGCCTAAACTTCGCTCTTACCACAGTTAGACCGACCTGTTGTCATTTACTTGTTGCTGTATTTCCAAATATTGGTGTAATTAAAACACGGTCTCTAGCAGAAGAACGATATTTTCGTATTTGCCTAATCCATGTGAAAGCATCCCCATACGCTTACTGGTACTTCTCAGTGATTTCAGTACTGTTCGTCTTATGATTTCGAACTGCCTGTCTAACTGAATTTACAATTCTTTGTTTCAGGCCACAATAGGAGCAGATTTCCTTACAAGAGATGTACAAATTGATGACCGTACCGTGACATTGCAGGTAAGCGTGTTCACAATTTTTGCTTTGTTGATTGAACAGTGTTGGCTTCCTCTTCGTACGACATCTATGAATTCTCTGAGTGTCAGTAGGTCTGAGAAAGATTACGAGAAAGAGAGGGTAAGAAAGTTCTAAGTATTGTCGAAAAGCCCTCAGAGCCTCGCAGAAAATTCCATCCAGTTCGATTCGCTGCACTGTTGAGAATCATAGTGATAATGATCGATCCCATGTAAAATAATTCAGCATTAATTCGCCTCTAGCCTTCTGTTTGGAACTGTTCTGAAGCACACCGATATGTGTGCTGTAGTTTCCATTTGCGGGGTTGTAGACTCAGCCACGAAGATAATGCAAAAGAAGTCCCTACATACGATACAGTACCTGAATTTCGAGAACTTAGAGTACTAGGGACGTTCGGCAGAGTTAGGGTCATAAGTTTGAAGTAATACTGCTTTCGCTTATTTGCTGAAGGGGATAGGCTAAATAAACCATTCGTGACTGATCTCCAGCCGCATATCCTGTGCCATGCTTCGAGACTAGAAGGATGCGAGGGTCGCACTTTTATCAGCAAATGTCGAACATTCCACCACCTACTTCGATAATGCCTTTGGTATCTTCCACTGCGCAGGGTCGACTCCTCCGCAGACGAATTCTCGAAATTTGGGGACATGCATCAACATGTTTCAGTACGGGGAAGGTTTTTAGCTTTTCATTGAGGAAGTACTTTTGCAGATGCGTTGATCATTTGGAAATTCGAAAGTAGAAGTGACAGAACGAAAAGGAAGGAGGGGAGAGGCGTCACACTTTAATTTAGCTCTTTATCCTTACTTATTAAACTTTTCACTCCCATTTTTTCGTTCTATAGGATGAAATTAAATTACAGGAAACGCGTTGTAGCAAGAAACTGGATCCGCGAAGATTCTTGTCTGAATTTGGATTTTAAGTGACTGAGTGGTTTCTGTTTCTAGATATGGGACACAGCTGGGCAAGAACGCTTCCAGTCTTTGGGTGTTGCCTTCTATCGTGGTGCTGATTGCTGCGTGTTAGCTTTTGATGTAACAAGTGCGTCGTCTTTTAAGAGTTTAGATTCATGGCGAGACGAGTTTCTTATTCAAGCCTGGTTAGTTTATTTTGACATTGAGATCTTTTCTTCGAGCTGTTGATTCCTTTATGTCCAGTGGTTATTCACTAATATCTACTTTCCAGTCCGCGTGATCCGGAAAACTTTCCTTTTGTGTTGCTCGGAAACAAAGTGGATTTAGAAGCACAGCGAGCTGTAAGCGCAAAGCGAGCGCAGTCGTGGTGTCAATCGAAGAACAATATCCCATACTATGAGGTTAGGTAACAAAACACTGGAATTTCGGTAAACACTCAAAGAGGAGTGTCATAAGCGTACGTTTCAGGTGTCTGCTAAAGAAGCTGTGAATGTGGAAGCAGCCTTCCAAGCCATTGCACGGGATGCGCTTGCCAGGGAGGCTCAAGTGAGATTTTTCTTGATCTCTAGTTCTATTTTCTTCATTTGTTCGAGTTTCTTTTCTTTGCAAGTGCAAACGGTTGCCTAACTTCGGTTCCTAAAAGGTGTCCAGGCGACTTTTCCATATTCTCCCGACAAATCAGTTTCCCGAGCCGCTCTAAGGAAATTAAACTGTACAACGGAACAGAAGTGAAGCATTGAGATTAGGACTCCCAACATCGTGGACCTATGTAAAACATGTCAGCATCACTCATTTCCCCGTTAGCAAAACATCAAGAAACTTCCCATTGAAACTCGACCTGTTGTTGTAGGGAAACGAACTACTCAGGTTGCCCCGTGAAAAGAGGAAATAAGATCGTCAAGATGAGTGGAAGAAAATTAGTGTAGCTATAAAAATCATCTCCAAAAGTTGTGGATTGCCGAGGGTTGAAGTTCATATTATAATGATTCATTGTGGTGGGGTTGTGGGTTCATAAAGTACGGGGTACGAAATTAGTGGAAGTAAATTATGGTGTTAGTAAACGATGGTTATGAGCTATAGCTTTCAGAGAAACTCATTGTGAGAATATGCCCCGCGTATTTCATTTGCTTAGGTGAGTCCTCAATCTCCCTTCTAGCGAAATAAAGTTTGTTCAAAAACCCTAGCGTATATGCGCAAGGTTGCATGGTGGATTGCTGTAGGCTTCCACTTTTTTCCTCGTTCTTATGTTATTTTCGATGCTGTTTAAACAGTGTCTCATGACTTCGTCAGGGCGTATGCATTGTAGCTTCCTGATCACTTCTTTCTCTTCTCCTTGTACAGATAGTGATACGTCGTTCTAATTACTTCAAGCCTTCATATATATTACCTCCTATTAATTGTGGGCACAGGTCAGTTCCTACAGGTGTGATACACTCGACCAAGTCCGAGTTAGTTCCGGAAATTATAAACTCTCCCCCTCTATCTTGACGTTCTGTTTGTGCAAAAAAAACGTAAAATGATGCCAATGATCGCGATGGTTCCATGCAGTTCTCACTTTACCCCTTTTAAACCCTAACTTGTATTTTTTTCGGATCAGAGCGATCAAACTTTTGTGCAAAGAATAATTTTTGTCGTTGGTTCCCTTCGAAAGGTATTGGGAGCTATTTCAATTTCTTACGTCTTTCTTTGTGCCCCTTTGTTTTCTAAATATTGGCTTTGTACCTTTGTGAAGTGAGGTTTTTATCTGGGCGTGAAGTGTTAGAGGAACAGCAAACCATAAAAGGTCTTTGAATGAAAAGAGGTACCGTAAAGGCATTAAGAAGGGTTACACTCGAGAGAGATCGCTTCGCAGCTGTCACTTCCGAGGTTGCATTTGTTCGAACAATCAGGGCAATTTTTCATGTGGATCATTAACTCCTACTAGTGCACTTTTACCGTGTCTTTCGGGCTTAAATCATCATACATTCATTGAAATCCCTCATTTCATTGACATCTTGTACTTGGATTGTTACAGGATTCTCACGACTTTCCGGAATTTCCCGATCAGATTCGACTTAACGAGCACAGATCTTCGACGAGTGGCGGTTGCAACTGCTAAGTCATTTATTCCCTCCGATCAGATTTTTCTTTTCATCCATGTTCCCATTCTCACGACCATACAAACAATCGGTTAGTTGCTGGCGTCAGCATCAAAATTCTTTCTTTCCAATAGCAAGCGATATGACTAAAGAAAAGTTGCCGATGCGAAGTGTGCCCCGTACTTATAGCAATGATGCCTGTGTGCTGCATTATGTCTGTATAGTTTCATTTCTATGTTCGAGTCAACGCATATGTCAATGAGATGATGAAAGTTGCGCTGTAGCGCTTCTTTCAAGACAACAAATACCGGTAGTTGCTGATGGAACTACTACTTTTCATTAGGATGTTTAAAAAATATCTGTGAAATATGACGCTGAATAGTCGAATTCCACTAACACACGTAAATCCTGTGATGAAGTTTCCAATTCGTTTTCTCTTCTTCTCTGTCTAAATTCTTAATGTGTTCGTGTGGATGGCCAGTCTAGATTTTCACCGATTACATATTTTTCTCTGGATTGATACGTTTTATTCATCGCAACAGTCTGTTCATTCACGATATGCATGTTGTCAATTTTTTCCTCGTTTTTGATTTTCGATAAAGAACAAGAAAGAGATGTTTCGCCAATGCCCACTTCCAGAAGTGCAAATCAGTTGCACGGTAGCGTCGTTACACGGTCGAAGATTCGGCGAATTTCCATGGGAGTGGAGGGATGGACACGATGGGTAACCATCGGTCAGTGCGGGAAAGAATTCAAAAATCTTTTATCCGCTGCGTAGTGAGTGTGGCCCATTAGAAGTGAGAACGATGCTTGGTCTAATCGTGGTTTTTTTTTTTTCGAGGAAAGATGATGTTCTTCATGAAGCCTGGGAACTAGGAAGTAGCTGGAACTAAACTCAGGTCGATCCATTTTTATGTAAGAAGACTGAATGGGGGGCTATCAGGAGGTGTGAGGATTATGGAAAAGCTTAACTCCTATTGATGGTATGGCATTTGCATTGGAGCTCCTTTGAAGGCACAGTTCACGATAATTTTGAGATATCTGTTTTGAGCGAAATAATGGAAGCCTTGATGCAGTACAGTGCGAGGGTTGTGAAAAGTGCGAAACCTTAATATTTTAAAAATATTAGACTTCAAAAAAGTAGCAAAAAAGGTTATTTGAGTTGACCGTCTTTGTGTTTCTCACCATAACCGTTCTGTTTTTCTCATCGCGTGAACATGCAGTAATAAGAAGGCGGGCTTAAGACGGCCACTTCGTGTGTCTACGTTGGCCATATCGGTGCTGGAGCCTTTATTGCGACCGTTTTTCGGTCCGACAATGGCCCATATACTATTCTTGGGGTTAACATATTCATTCTATTTAAAAGGACATTTCAGAAGCCATTTTTATCGTGAACTGTGCCTTTGATCTGATATGTGTTCTGAGCTTGTCATAGTTTACCGCTCCTTCGCGATTGAGTTTACTCAGTATTAATTTGTCGTTAGGTCGTACGCCAGTCCATTCGCACACTTTTTCGGGAGACTTTATATTCGCTTGTTTTTGATTAGCTTGGAAGTGAAGATTCTAATTTACGCCCCTCCCACTTTACATCACAAATAAGCCGCATAAGCTTGATTTTTTGCTAGTTACTTACAGCTCAATACTGTTGCGTGCTCATTACAACATGGTTAGATCAGTTATCTCAGTTCTTCCCTGCTTATAGGTCAGGATTGCGGGGAGAACATCAGCGTTGTCTTTTCGACTCTTCATGCGACCAACTGAACACATAGAGTGAAATCATGCACAAGCTCCAGACGTGGTCCTCAGCCCACTTGAGCAAAGCTTGAAAGGAGGCATTTGAGAACAGTGATGAATGTGGAAAACGGCGCGGTTGATAACGTTTCACATCTTTTTCTTTTCGAGTCGTCTTCACTGATGTGAATTTCGACTTTGACGGTTTAGATAGGTTCCTCATTACTAAATTTCCCATTTTTTTGTAGCCACTGGCGCACTCGGAAAAAGTTGGAGACGATCTACGCTAATTGTTTCGGCTACTTCAGAGACAGGGGAAAATTGAACCGTTCTTTTTCGTGCCATAATGTTATTCAGTAATAACAAAAAGTTCTTGAATCCATTTCTTACCATCCGTCCTGCAGGAAAGCAGCGACTATGTATGCCTTTGATTCCATGGTTTTTTGGTTTTTCATGGAAATATTATAAAAGGGCACAAATCTTCTGTGTGGGCACAACATATCAGGGGAATCCATGGTATCGCAATTGGTTACCGAAATCGAGGCCCATCTTGTTCTCTCAAACAGAGAAGCGTTTGTACTAGATGAGCACGGAAGATCTTGAGAAAAAGATCTCAAGAGCGAATGCTCGATGAAAGTCTCAATGAGTCTCAGCAGCAGAGTAGCTGGATTAGAGCTAGTAAAGAGGTACGTGTTGAGTGTGAGCAGGAATTTATAAAGCAGTAACTTAGTGTGTCGATTTGTCAGCTTGTCGGGTTGTGTGTTTGTCGGTCTGCCTCTCTGCCCGTCCGTAAAATTTTATTTACGATAAAGATAGTGATATGGAGAACCCAGCTCTACACTACATTTCTTTTCTATACACAGTGCGTCGCAAAATGATACAGCCACCTCTAATTTTCCCAAAAACTCACAGTATATGATGTTTCTGAAAAACTGCCAAAGTAAAAAATGTGTCAAATTTGAACTGCAATTCGCACATTATCACCAAATTCCAGCTCGAAAACACAAACATTTTTTTTGGTCAATTTTTCGATAAAGTGTGCTTTTCCAACGTCGCAAAATGATACAGCCACTGAGAAAATTTATTTATTTAACAACAAACATACAACAAGGAGGGAAAGTTGCAAAGTCAATAATCAGCTGACCCACCATTCTTCCGAATTACTTTGATAATACGGTGGTCTAGGCTCGAATAAAAATTATCGGTAAGCTCCTGGGCA